AGGAGACGTACAAGGGGAGATGAATTTATATTTTTGATACATTTATATAATAAAGAATATATATTACATTTCAACCAAACCATTTGTTTGAATATATATGGAAAGAGAATATTCAAAATATTCAATATTTTCTTGTCCTGAGCGTTTGCGTTAACTTCATTTTTTTGAAGGCTTTTGGAATGTGTACTATTTTGAACGTGTGATGACCATTTTGATTCAATCTATCGAAATTTGAAATAAATATTAAAAACTTTGAATATACGGATATTATTTTTTGAAATTCAGGAAAATATAAGAAATTGTTTACCAAATTAGCATTTTGAATTTTCTTGCCTACCGTTGTTCTTTTCCGACAATAAACTTTTTTGATCGTGGCCATCATTCGAAACTGTTAAATACCTAACACATTAAGAAGTAATGCTACTTTCTGGTTACTCGTTTTATAGTCTTAAACGATGGCAAATGAACTTTCAATTATAATACGATTATATCACATGAATGGTCGACGTCGGCTGTTATCGCATTTTGGTCATCCATAACCATAATATTGCAATCATTTTCCAAAATGTGATTAATAATACGAAACATATCCTCTTCAACGCCCGAATCTTCATCGAATTTTAACAATTCAAATAGTCCACGATAAAAGTTTACGGCTTTTAAACATCATAAGATAAAACCACAATCCTAATGACGTATGCATATAACATGTTCCCATTGCAATTGCATTTTTCCAAAGTCTATTTTTCTGATAGCCTATGAATTCCGTGTGAAACGAACAAATCATCATTTGAGGCTATGGATGAACGAATTTCTTTTTTTCATTCATTTCATAAGTCCATATATAAAGAGATGTAAGGAGCAAAGTAGCACGCAGTTCAGTTCAATTTATTTCAGTGTTTTTAACGTTTTCGGGATGTGTGGTTAAATCTTATCGCACAGAAGAAGCAATCTACCTTATGTCATCTATTGACAAGCGCATTCCCCTTCAATGCCAAACTCGAGTGTGCCAATTGCTCTCTGTGTTTTTTATACCCTACACCACTTGCGGTAACGAATATATTAAACTTAGATGTTGTTTTTGTTCTGCTTCTCGGTATATTAAGCTAGATACAACTAAAAATCCGAACATTACTGGTTTCACATAGTTTTTGGTGACAATATCATGTCTATCCTTAAAAGACGATTTTTCTTCGTTCTCATTTCCATCCGTTGATACTGGAAAATATGGGAAAAAGATTAGTTTCAGGATATACAAATGACTTTAAAGATCGATTAACAATAAATGTACCCAAATCGCTATTTCGTCTCTGCTGAATTGTTGTTATTATAATGTTGAGATGCCATATAATAAATATCGGACCACTTATTAGGTTGTAGACGTCCGCTACCAATGGGACGTTGCTTATAATAGCAGGATCCTTAAAGTAGTATAAAAGACATTTATCTACTTTAAATAAATATAGAGAAACTAAATTTTGCGATATCATGTAATCGGAACTTCTCCATATCTTAAGACGTTTCAGGCGTGCTTCCAATTAAATCACGCAACAATCGATAATTATAGGCGAATGATTACCCCGTTTAACTTTGGTAGTGGTTATGTATTTACCTATAAGCAATAGACTACCACGAGAGTATTGTAAAAACGAAGCGTTCCTCAAGGATTTGCATTTCTCCAAAAGGTTGTTGCGTATTTTCTGCTAGGTTCTCCTTGACAGACTCACATGCTCAACAGATTTCTCCAAATCACAGCTAACCAAGGTAAAAAGAAATGTTCTTCTACTACCAACTAACAAGATATGACCAAAAGATCGTTCCGTGTGATAATTACTTTATTACCACTATTTGGTAACAACATATCACCTGTCTTTTTGTCGTTTTATTTATTAAAATGATTTAAATCAATTGACGTCAAGTCCAATGCAAATGGAGATCGCGAAAATGAACAAAAACAATGAAAATTGCCGTTAAGTAACGCTTTTTGTTTTTGTGATTTTTCATTAGTGTTGTTAAGTTACAAATGGGTTGCCACTCCTAAGATCGTAAAAATTTAATACAAAAAACGCTATAACGCTATATTTTGGCATTCGAAATTGATGTAAAAAAGCGGGTGTGGCAATTCTGTGAAGTTGCCTATAGAAACTGAATCTTTATATGTTAGAAAGGCTTAATTTTCAATATTTCTTGATGAAAATTCGTTCGTACATTAGTGTAAGATAATTAGACAAATAATTTCTAAATTTAAAATAAATCTTTGGCTTTGAAAGGAACTTTTGCAGGTTGATGATAGCTGCAAATTGTTCCGTTTGAAGCAGGTAGAGGTTGATGAAAGCTCTACAAAATAGTTCGCAGTGAGAAAAAAAAAATAAAAAATTCAAAAAAATAATTAAAAAAATTAATAAAAAAACAAAAAAAAAAAAAAAAAGACGGAACAATCTTACAATCTTAGTTTATAGAGTTTTATTATTATTAATTTGAAACTTACATTTAAGCTTCTTTAAGATTTTAAATTTTTATTACTTTGTAGTATTGTGTTATTTTGTAAATATTGCAAATTTTTTTGGTCAATAAATCGAATTTAAAAAAAAAAATATTTTAAGACCTATAATAAATATTCGTTTCAATTCAGTGTAAGTCGTATCAGTTGAAGTTGTTTTGTCTCCGTTTCTCGCATCAAAAATCGTATATTTTTCTTTCACTTCTATCAAGTTGCAAAATTCTTAGTACTAGCGTCAAGATAATCACAGGATTTTTATATATGTAGTAGCTTGTCTCTGATAGTTTTTATATTCTACACAGATTAGGGGCTTGAGATAGACTTACCTTTGATTTCATCGATCGATTTAGAGGATGAGTCGATCTCAAGGTTGTCTGCCCGCCTGCCTTTTTTTTTTGAAATTTGGTGTAAGGCCTTTTTTTTCTTTTGCTTTTAATTTCGACTCAGGGAATCTCGTTTATTCGTGTAATACGGTGACCGTCGAAATTAATGAGGTAAAAAATTACAGCTGCAGCCTAGTATATTCTATCTTAGCTTTAACAATTTCATTAAAAATAAAATGCCTTTTCCATTATTATTGGAGCGAATGTATTTTATATCGATTTCTCCCTTGATTGTCAATGAATAATAAATAGTAAACTATTAATATATCTATTCAGATATTATGCTCACCCACATGCACGATCTCCTTGCCAAACTCCTCCACGAGCATCCGGAGGTGTGGCGTTCTTGCCGGACATCAAAGAACGGAATCTACGATGAATTGGCGCGCAGATTTAACGAAAAATCGAACTGCAAAGTAACTGCCACGTGGCTTGCAAATACCCTGGACCGAATCAGAAGAACGATAAAAAAAATTGAGGAAGGGTCGTCCCGTACCGCTCTTACCGCATATGCGTGGTATGCTGAAGAGCTGGGATATAAGAAGGCAGCTGCAACCATGAAGAGAGAGAGAGCAAGGGCAAAGGCTTCTCAAGAAGATATACTTCTGGCGAAAGAAAACTGTCGTGGATTCCAAGATGGCAAAAAGCCTCTCGAAACATCCACCATAGATGCGGTTCTAGCCGAACTAACGCGTACGCGGCGCGAAATGCAGTTTGGAAAAGCTTATTCGATTGCGTCATCAGGATCGAAGGAGCGATCCACTCCAAGCGAGATGTTGATGCCCCGGGAATCAAACAATGAAACATATGCCTCGATTCTCCTACACGACTCCAGAAGAAAAGCTGCTGAGGCTGCAAGTCGCCGGCAATCGCACGGCCCGAAACGCGCCC